AAAAGGACCACAAAAGGAAACAACTTTACTCCACCCACCAACCGAACGAATCTCCATTGAAGGAATAGAATAGAACATTCGAAAGGGACCACAAAGCACAGACGATTCTGACACTGTTCTTGATGCCATTGACCGGTATTTTTCCTTTTATTCTAACAAAATCTTGTTTAACTTTTACTGATATTTAGCATACGGGTCATGGATTTGTGTTAGAAGTGATATTTAATTAAGATTTATGGTTTATTTAGGATTAAAATAAATTTAAGCAGTGTTCGTCACTTTTTAGGGATTTAGGGTTCATGTAATTTACTTAGTAATTAAACTAAAAAGTTATATTTTTCTGTTTTCTTTTACTTTTTCTATTAGTGTTGAATTCAATTTCAATCATGATTGTACAAGTATTGAAGAAATTTAGTTTAGAATTTATGCTATTACTGTAAATTAGTTATTTCTAAATCTATAAATTTGTAATCAATAACTTGATTTATAAATTTAATGCTTAAATGTGTGTTAATTTATATTAATTTATATCTTTTTCTTCCCATATGACAGCAATGGGGACATTAAGAATTCACCATAGTGGCACTTTTTGCATGAGTAGTAGTACGGATCTTAGGTATGCTGCAGGCAAAGTACATGATGAGGATATTGAATATCATCGTGTGACTTTGTCGTACTTAGAGGAGAGGGTAAAAAGCTTCGGATATATGCATTTTAAGGACATATATTACAAAGATCCTTATGTGGAAAATTTTGGTGAAGCAGTAAAGGTTATAAATAGTAAGCAAGAGCTTATTCACATGTGATACCTTTCAAATGAAAGGGGAATTATAGATGTGTATGTTGAGTATGTCTGTGATGAGCTAGATATTTTAGATTTGCTTGAAGGTGGCACTGTTCTGCAAGAACCAATTGATGAAGGCACAATGGACATTGGGGAAGGCTGTGTGACACAAAATGCACAACCAGCCCCAAATTTTCATGAAACTCCAAAAACAGCAGCTAAAGGTGATGCTGATGAAACAGATGCACTGCATAGAGGTGATGCAACCCAACAAGAAGATCTACAGAACAATGATCATGATGATGAGGATTTGCTTGATATTGTGCCTTGTGATGTAGATGATGAGGAGGTGCTTGAATCTACTCGCAATAAAAAGAAACATAAAGCCAATGCAAGTGCAAGTGCAAGAAAAAATGCAGATGGTGCTAGACCAAGCGGCACAATCCATGACTCCCCTACCACAGTTAATGAAGAGGGTGAAAGGGTTCCTATAGGAACTGATGACCATGGAGATTTGGGTTCTTATTCTAGCTTTGAAAATAGTGAAGATGAATTTGAGGTTTCTAGTGATGATTCAGGTGAGTACAATGTTGCAGATGAACATGAACTTGAAGAAGAAGAAGAAGAAGATGTAAGAACTACTAGGAGTAGTGATTTATGGTTTAATCCTTCATGGACTACTGTTTGGTTTGAGGTAGGGATGAGGTTTGAGCATGTAGCACAGTTTAAGGAGGCTATAGCTAAATACCAAATTCAAAAAGGCTGTAAGTTGAAACCTGTTAAAAGTGACCCCACTAGGCAGAGAATTCACTGTGTTGGTCAACAGTGTAATTGGAGTATCTTTGCCAGTTTGATAAAAATGACAAGACTTTTAAGGTGAAGACATATTGCAGGGAACACACTTGCTTTAGGAGTTTGAAGTCTGATATGGTTGGGTCGAGGTTACTTGTAGAAAACCATAGGAACAGAATTTTTGCAAATCTGCAGATCAGAATCAGTGAGATTGTGAGATTGTCTCATTTACAATTAGGAGTTCATGTTTCAAGGGATAAGTGTAAACTAGCAAAGGAAAGGATTATAAAGGAGGTGAAGGAAACTCACATGAAAGAATTTGCTCAGTTAAAAGGGTATGCAGAAGAGCTATTGAGATTGTCCCCTCAGTTAAATGTTCAAATTGACAGTGAGCCACCCACAACTCTAGAGGGAAACCTATGTTTAAAGCAATCTATGTGTATCTAGAAGGATGTAGGAAGGGTTTTCTACTGGGCTGTAGACCAGTAATTGGAGTAGATGCCTGTTTCCTCAAAGGGATGTTTAAAGGAACTCTTTTGGCAGCTGTTGCAAGGAATGGGAACAATCAAATGTTTCTAATAGCTTGGGCTGTTGTTGACTCAGAGTCTACCAGCTCATGGACCTTTTTTTTTTTTTTAGATGCCTAGCTGATGATCTGTCAAATCACACTGGGCAAGATTTAACGTTCATTTCGGGCCAACATCCTATAAGTGTGCACAATCTATTATGAATTAATTTATATTATCAATATCTTTATGTTACTATACTCATCAATGCTATTTATTGTATAATTCAATTGACTTTATTATCAATCATTAACCTTATTTGTTTTCATTAAACACAATTTGGTAAGGGTTGATTAATGCAAGACAAACAGTTTTCCTCGAGGCTAGGCATAGATTGTGTGCCAAGCATTTATATGCCAATTGGCAAAAAATTTTCAGAGGGAAACTATTGAAGAAAAGATTCTGGATTGCTGCAAGGTCAACATATGAAGGTCAATTCAACAAAAACATGGAGGAGATCAAAAATTTATCTGTGGAAGGTCATGATGCCTTAAAATCAATCCCACCAGAGCTGTGGTGCAAGGCATTCTTTGACACATCATGTAAATGTGATGTGGTGGATACAACATGAATGAGACGTTCAACAATTGGATAATGGATGCCAGATCTATGCCAATCATCCAACTGTTAGAATATATAAGGGTTAAGGTGATGGTTAGGATAGCTAAGAACAGAGAAGAAATCAGGAAATCAGCAAATGGAGAGGAGATATAGCACCCAGAATTAGGAAGAAATTAGAAGCACATAAGATTGAAGTTGCCAAATGCAGATGTGAATGGAATGGCAGGATCCACTATGATGTTTGGCATTGGAATGACAAATTTGTTGTGGATTTGATTGGGAAAAAGTGTAGTTGTAAAGCATGGGATTTAACAGGAATTCCATGTCCTCATGCATTGTCTGCGATAGGTTTAGGTAACTTCGACCCGGATGAATTTGTATCAATTTGGTACCAAAGGGTTAAGTATGAATGTGCATACAATGTACCAATCATGCCTTGTAATGGTGAGAAATTCTGGGAAAATTATCATGGGAAGCCACTAGAACCACTGCCATTTAGATGCAAGCAGGGTAGGCCGAAGGTGAATAGGAGGAAGGGTGATAATGAAACCAGAAAGGTGAAGGTGGACAAATCACGTGCTCACTTTGCAAGCAACCTGGAGACAACAAAAAGGGATGGCCCAAAAGGCCAACTAAAAGTAAAGTAAGTTAATTACTTACACCTGTTTTATTATCAACAAACGATAATATAATGACATTTTTTTTTTCATACTCAATAGGGAGCATTAGTAAGCACTCACCAGCTAATACCAAGAAAACCTCCAACTTGTGGACATTGTAAGCAGCCTGGTCACACCAAGACAACATACACTGCTAGATATTTTGTTGATGAAAATGTAAGTTTATTGAGTGGTAATTGCTTAGGATCTATAATTTCCTATTAATAGTGCTATATTGCTAATTATATGTGTTTATTCTTGTTGCTGTTTTTTATCATGCAGTCTGGTCAATCTGATGGACTAAGAAGAAAAAAGAAGCACAGATTTGGTAAATATATTAATTCACCAGAATTGAACCCTGTGAGTTTAAGCTTAACATTCAACTAAGGGTGTGAATTGTGTTGATAATTTATTTTCTAATACTAGAATTTAATTTATGCAGCAAGGTCTGCAAGGGGAGATCGCTATGAGACATACCCATCCTAGCCAATTTCATAAAGCACAGCCACCTCGGAAATCAGCCAAGAAGAAGGGATCAAGTGAAGCTTGAGGAATGGTTTTTTTTTTTTTTTTTTTTTTTGGTTTGATGCATGGGAGTAAAGAACTTTGCTTTAAGGTTGCAAAAGGTGTTTTTTGTAGGTATTTGGCAGGAATATGTAGCATTTTTTTGGTAGGATCTATATTTGGTAAGAATATGTAGCATTTTTTTTATTTTGGATTTTTGGAGTATTGGATGAAATTCTGGGAAAATGGTGGATATCTTTGTCTCTTGTCAGCTTTTGTGCAATCCTAATAAGATAATTGTGTAAATGTAACCATTTTGGCTTATATTATCAATTAATGGTAAGTGATATTTCCTTATTTTTGTACCTTTTATGGTTATTCATATTGTTAATATTAATAGCACAAATAACTATTTCCATTTGATTAATATTAAAAAAATGAGGTAACAATTTTGGAGAAGTTAATTTATATTCATTATATCCAAAATAAATTACAAAGCTTGGGGAGAAATGAGGCCCCATATTAGAATTATTGGGGGCAGTATCTACAAACCTTCAACACTACCATTCAAGACAACCACATTGCCCACCAAACAACAGATAATGCCCAAAAAACAAAACTATCCCCATTTGCCTAGTTTCTTAATTTCCAAGCCTTTTAAAACCCCTATTCCCATCAACAAGTAGAACCCAACTCCTAAACAAGAAAAAAGCAAGTAGAATAGCAAGGAAAACAACCACAACCAAAGATATTTGACCACATTTCTTCCATTTCTCTAGCTTCGCAGCATACACCACTGTCATTGTTGCCAACATCTGCAAATCATTAACTTTCTTCTCCAATGCCTCAATCTGTTGCTCTCCTTTTTCTTCATAACGCTTCAAAACATTTCTAAGAGCTTTGATCCTTTCCCTTACATCATCCAAATCAGTTTTCAATTCTGTCTTATTGTTGTGCAGCCACGAGATAACCTCCTTAGCCCTAAAAGAGAAATCTTGATCATACCACACAAAATACTTACACTGTTGCTTTTTATTCTGCAAATGTCCAAAAATCACATTTCATTAACAATTAATCAAAACCCAATCTTTATGCCAAGCAAAACCCTAAACTTTACCACACAATACCTACGAAATATCTTAACAAAAAATCCCCTAAACAACACACTAGTTTAAAATCAAACATTAGGGAAGAAATTACCATGGGATCATAGATTGAGCATCCAAAAAACCTTCGACCAAGATTCTTTTCGCTCCAAGACATGATCCTTGGAGCCTTCAAACCACAAAAGCAAAACCGACTTGGCCCCTCGTAATCATACTCATGTCTTCCAAATTCCACCGGTGCTGAAGTGTGAGAGCTGCTGGAGCTAGCCATTGAACAAGTAAATGACATGGGCGTGAATTTGAACATTAAAGAAGAGAAGGAAACTCAAAACTCTTTGTGCCCTAAGGATCATTTAAATAGATTTCTTTGCATTCATCTGTCTTTTTTTTTTTTTTTCAAACCTTTAGTCAGCGATGGGGCCCACAAATAAAATTGGTAGCAGGTAGACTTCCCGCTCATGGGGGTCCAAGTTGGCATGCCAAGTTGTCAAAAAGGTCTGAGGTGGCGCTCACATGTGCATACTTGACGGAGGCCAACGGTGCACGTGCTACACATGACGCTCTGGCGTTAAATTTTGCCTCATTTCCTCAAACTCGAAAATATAGAGGGTAAAAATCCATGTATTGTAATATAAAGGGTAAAAAGCCTCAAATTCAAAAAGTTAAAGGGCAAACGGGTACCTTTTGCTTCCTCCATTCAAGCTCACTTCCTGATCCTTATCCTTATCTACTCCTTTTTCTGGCAACAAATTTTATCCTTCTTTGCTTGAGCAGTGAGCAGCAGCAACCAAATCCTACTATTTAAGGCTGGCTCCACATGATTTGGGTCACCAAATAGATTTCCATCCTGCCAGTGCGTGAGATGTGAGCACTGGTAGTGAACAGCGGCACGCCGACACCATAGCAATCCAAAATCTTTCCCTCCCCTGTGGCAAATTTCTGGAAATCTCTTCTTCAAATTTTGTGAAAGTGAAACCGAGATTTCAAATGATTTTACAAAAAAATTGCACTTTTACGTTTTTATCATCCGATTTTATGAAAATTCAATTTTAAAGTCGATTTTACTCGGCATCCATATCTAACATCGTAAAATCTTACAATTTTACGATAAAAAACGCGATTTTGACAACACTGGTCAATATCTCACCCAGGAGTACAAAAGTGTGAATTCTAAATCGACTTAGATAGCCTAAAAAAGTGAGTGGTTTTGCCTCATTTGCGGACATGCATGGATGGATGGTTGGAGAAGAGATAAACATTTCTTATACCGTAGTTTGGAACATCATTAGAACACAGATGGAACAAGGATAGTCTAGAGTAGACATGACAAAAGTACAAAATAATGATCTGATTATGGAATTTAGATGATAAAACATTTTCAAGTACAAAATATGCGTATAAAATATAAATGCAAGTACTACCAACTCCATAGACAAGAGTAAGATTATGCTGAATCACCTTGAATAGACTATTAAGGCCTAGAATCGATAGAAACAAAAATACAACTAATAAACTGGCAGAGGATGTGAAACCTTGTGGCTTTAAGCAATAATAAAGCCATCATCTCCCCTGCTTGGATAATTATGGCAATATAGTCATATGACCAGGCTGCATGTATAAATATATCAATGATATAGAGCTTTATAACTAACGAGATTGACTGCTGCTTCATGATTGCTTCAGTCAGATAAACCAGCTTTGCTCTTGAGGTGCTGTTTGAAGTCCATAATATCACCCTCCCAACGCGTTACAGTTTGATTTTCACATACCCAAATCTCCTCAGCAACCTGGTTTATGAGCCTGAAATCATGGCTAACAAGAACCAGGCCTCCATCCCATTCGTTCAATGCCTCAGCCAGGGAGTCAATGGTCTCAATATCCAAGTGGTTTGTCGGTTCATCCAGGAGCAGCAAGTGCGGTTGCCTATATGCTAACCATGCAAAAATGACACGGCTCCTCTGCCCATCGGAAAGATTCTTCATTGGCATGATCTGTGCTTTGCCAGACAACCCAAACTTTCCAATTGCAGCTCTCATCCTCTCCTCCTCATTCCCTGGATACTCTTTCATCATGTACTGAAGAGCAGACACTTCCAGGTCAAGTTTCTCAGCCAGGTGCTGATGGAACTGTGCAATTCGCAAATGATTATGCCGCCGGACCATGCCATCAAGGGGAACTAAGTCCCCTGTCATCAGCTTCAGCAGCGTACTCTTCCCAGCACCATTTGGCCCAACCAGTGCTACCCTGGAATCCAAATCTACCCCAAAGTCAAGGTTCTTGTAAATGAGATTATCAGGTGTGTACCCAAATGTAACCTCCACAAACTGCAGCACTGGTGGAGGAAGTTTTCCCACATCAACAAAACGGAAGACTAACAGCTTGTCCTTTACAACCTTTTCTGTCAGTCCACCTCGCTCCATCTTTGCTAGAGTTTTTTCCTTGCTCTGGGCCTGGCGGGCTAGTTTGGCTGATCCATGACCAAAGCGAGCAATGTATTCTTTCATAGAAGCAATCTGCTCCTGCTCCCACTTGTACTGTTTCATCTGGTTCTCTTCCAGTTCCTCACGGGTCTGAACATACTGATCATAGTTTCCAGTGTAGAGCCTCAGTTTTTTGTTTTGCATGTGGATAATGTTTGTGCAGACTCCATTCAAGAAATCCTGGGAATGTGATACCACAACAAGGATGCGTTCAAATTGCTTTAAGTTCTCCTCCAACCAGACACATGCTTCTAAATCTGTTAAAAATGAACACATTCATGTAAATCAATTCTAACAAAAGTTACTTAATGTCAATCTGCCACAGCCAACTATTAAACAGGTAAATAATATTAGTATCACCCACAGACTGATCCTCGTATCCAAAAGTAAGTGCAATATCAATATAAAAATGATGTAATTATATTCTTATGTGACTGTACCATCTTAGATTAATAAACACTAACCTAAATGATTTGTGGGCTCATCAAGCAGCAGTATGGTAGGATTCATAAATAAAGCCCGAGCCAATGCAATTCTCATTCTCCAGCCACCAGAGAAATCTCGGGTTTTCTTTGCCTGCATCTTCTTGTTGAAACCAAGACCAAACAAAATTTCAGCAGCACGTTTCTCTGCAGTTGCTGCATCAATAGCTTCCAATCTCTCGTAGATGCGTTCAAGTTGTTCTCCACCACCATCTTCCTGGAGCAACAATTGAAAAATGAAAAGAATAATAAATGAGTCACAGCCACTGTTCCTGAGAAAAACTTTATATGGTTACAAAAATGATGTCTAGCTGTGCTAACCTGTCCGGCCAAAGCTTCAACTTCTTTCTCCAACTGCAACCTCTCCTCATCACAACTTATTACAGCCTCCAACGCAGACATGTCAGAAGCTTCAATCTCTCTAGTTAGATGATAGATATCCATGTGTTCTGGAATTGGAAGCTCACGCAATCCTATTGCAGTAAGCAGGGTTGATTTCCCACAACCATTCAATCCAAGCAAGCCATAACGTCTGAAAAGATAAAAATAAACCAAACCGTTGCTATCAACCAAGCCACTCTGGTCAAAAAACCACGAAATTCCAGTCTTTCAGGTAGAAAACAAACCTTCCATAATTAAGCTCCAGCACAGAATCAACAATGAGGTCATGTCCATGAAATGTAACTGACAAGGACTCTATCTGCAAAAGCAAGAACGGTAATTCGGTAACAATATACCAGGCACCAAACCAAAACTCGGGCTTTGCCTATGCTTAAGGCAGGTTATTCCAAAACACCACATACAAAGCACCAAACTTTAAACACTGCCATCATCATTCCATTACTATCAACAAATCCAAGATCAAAAACAGGAATCAGCAACTTACGCGAATATCTCTAGAGAGCGGATGCGAACAGAGGACACCTGTACAGGTCCGATCGGATATTTGGAGACTCCCAACTCCTTCGGACAACTTATCCGCTCCATTCTGAGAATCCACCGCCGCCGCCGCTGCAGCAGCCTTTGAAGAAGAAGAAGAAGAAGCAGCAGCAGCAGCCTTCCCTCCTCTCTTAGCAGCAGCAGCTGCCTTCTTCTGTGCCGCCTTCTTCTTGCTCGCGTCCGACACCATCTTCAATCCTAATAACGCCACAACAGATCCAAAAATAACCAAACAGAAACAAACAACAGTAAACAAGAGAAATTGAATCCTGGGCGCAGCGAAATGAACCTGAGAAGTGATCGGAGAGGTGAATCGGAGAAGCGAAGACGGATCTAGGGTTCCCGTGTTGCGACTTCCAGTTCCGGCGGAGGAGAATTAAGAATTTCGCGGCGGTTTGAGGGGGACAAAGAGGAGAGGAGATTTGCGAATTTATAGGAAAGAGAAGTGGAGGCGGAGACACGTGTACGGAAGATACGCCCCCCTAAGTCGGAAGGAACTTCGATTCTCCGCAGCCGTCCTAGAATTAGGTTTCACACCAAACGCTGTCGGATTTGGAATTATGTTATATTGGATTGGGCTTTGAATAATAAAAGAAAACTATAAACCCATCAGATTGGGTTTTGGACAAAAAAATCGTCGGCCCATTTAACTTAACCTTCTTCTTCTTCTTCTTCTTCTTCGTTCTCTCACTTTCCCTATCTTTTGTGTGCTTTAGCCATCTTTGCCTCCCAGAACTGGGCGGTCTCTCTCTATCTCTGTTCCGATTCTTCGCCTGAAATTTTACCATCGGTGAGTTTCGTTTTTCCTCTCGAATTATGGATGTAATTGATTCGATCCCTTTTTTTTTTTCTTAATGGTGGATGGTTTCTTTTCATTTGTAGTTGTTTCTACAGGGGAGAGGATGCTCTATATGATTAGATCAAAATTTTTTCAGTTTTCGGTTGCAAATTGTAGTTTTTTTTAGGTAATATGAAGATGGGTCTGTTCTTAATAAGAGAAAGGGAAAGCTACACAATGTGCCAGAATGGCACACAGGTCCTATACAGTATTAATGGGGATGTTTTTTTAGGTTCTAGTTCCTAGTTGAACTTGAGTATAAGTACTCACTTATTCCAACTGTATGATTGAGTTTCTATGAGAAATTTTTATCTTGCTGAGGAAAATTAATGTTGAGAACATTTCACGTTTTCCCTTCTATGGGATGGTGGCCTTTATTCTGAGCTTTTTTTGGTAGTTTCTTAATTAAAAATAAAAAATCTATGAGCTTTACAGTTTATTACTATCATGTATAGTCTGTCCATAGCCTATTGTTAAGCTGGCAATCTCTTAGAGGCTTGATTGATTGTTAGGCAAATGTTCTGGCAGCCATAACACTTTCAAATTGAACATGAACTTTTGTTAGTTAGTTCATGATCATAACAGGAACTTTTTGACACAGAATCGTAATATAATATTAGTTTTTCTATTATTTCTATTGCCATTGTTAGATAGCCCTGTAGCTTTGTGGAATCCTGCTTGTATACTGTGATCTCTTGCATTTGCTTCTCTTTTATTTTGCCTTTTTATTCCCCTTTTCAATTATTGAAAACAATGTGTATCTTATGAAGTCGAATCCAATACCTATATCTTCTGCTGAAGGTGGGGTTTGGTTCAATGGTTTCTTCACTTCATCCATGGTGAGGAAGATCCAACTATGCTGTTATAGATCTATGAATTTTACATTTTTCCATGTCCTGTTGATCATTCTTGGATCTGCTATGTGGATTAATGATGAAATATACCATCTGCATTTTGTCTCCAAGTAGTTCTATTATTGTATTGTCTCATTAGATATGAATATACAGCCATTAAAGTGCCAAACATGTCCAGCCAATCCTTTGTTTTCTATGTTAGCTTTACATCCGTAAAGAGGAAGGAAGTGTTGAAGTTTAATCATGTCAATGCTCAACCTTTTTGGTTTTTCACAAGTTCATTTGCCATGATGCTAGATTGACTATGGTGGTAGGGCACTTCCAAGTTCCAATGCATTTCATAGAAAATGTTTATTATGTTCCTAGTGGGTCTAGACTTGAAATAGAATAGAATGTAACCCCCCCTTGCTAATACTGAAACTAAATGCACAATTATTGTTGCAAGTGAAAGGGTAAAAGAATCCTAGTTTCAATTTCAAAACTTTTGGACTTAAAACTATTAAACTCGGTGTGCTTAAAAAGTATGATGAAAATGTTATTGCATTATTTTATTGCCCTTATTGCCATTGTATTATAAGTGGTAAAGCATGACATGGGATTTCAACGGCATTGGATTGTTAGATACTCAGTTAGGTTAGTGATAACAGGAGGAAGCAAGAAGTTGAAGGGGAGACATTCCTGAATGAATTCAGCGAGATGATGAGGAATTATAACCATGTTTTTCTTTCTGGTACTTTGTGGGCCTAGCACAGCCTGTATACTTCAGATGGGCTCATAAAAACTACATAGCAGCAAAAATTTTCCTTTTTGCCCCCGTTATTTGTCACCCCACATCAGTACCAGCTTCTATATATACTCTGTAAATCTGACTTCTATTTCTCTTTAATTTTGGAAAAATTGTTAGGGATCTCAAACAATGACTGTTCTGAAGCGGTATGTGTTAAGGCTATTCATATCGCTAAAGTACATCACAGCTAATGTTGTGGACAGAAACAATGGACGGATAGTTGCAACAGCATCAACAGTTGAACATTCCATCAAGAACTCATTAGAGTGTGGCCGGTCCTGCAATGCCAAGGCAGCAGCCGTTGTGGGAGATGTGTTGGCCATGCGGCTCAAGGTTGAGGGTCTTGAACAAGGACAGGGAAGAGGCATACACGTCGATGTAAACAAGGAAGTAGAGAAGAAAGGCTTTAAGAACAGGACCAAAGTCTGGGCTGTTGTGAATGCGCTCAAGAACAATGGAGTCAAGGTCATTCTTGATGATAATGATGATAGTCCATCTTGGTCAAATCACTGATATATTTTCTTGTAAGTTTAATTCTAATCCCACTGATTATATGCATTTTTCAGAGTTAAATCACAACTACCCGACCCAAAAGATGTTGATGCTAGGCATGTCAATATGATCAGCCTTGTCTTAACATGATGTTCTTTGATAAGATGCATGAATGTTGAATCCATGCATACATTCATGGCCATTCAACAAATTCTTGGGGGCAGATGATGTGCCTCATTTATTATCCTAGTAAATTTTTCAGGATCTTTTTTCATTCGTTCTTGACTGGCATTGACTGACACCGCTAAAATTTACTCATTTCTCAATGTAATGGTTATATTTATATAGGAAAGATGTAGGTATGGTCGTTAAGTAGCTATCTTAATTAATGGACAGTGAAAGGAGGATACCCTAAAATTGTCAAGTGGCTGTTTGGCGGGAGACCAACTCTCGCAGACAAGTTTTTGTTGAGAATCAGAAGAAGTATAAGAAAATATTATATAAAAAGTAAATTAATTGAGTCTCTTGTTTTACTATCTGAATTATATTATATTATAAAATAAGGGTTATTGGATAGGGGAAGGCTCCAATATAAAAGGGTTCACCTTCCATTCAATGATTATAGTTCTTTAATTTGATACAATTTTAACTGCACAACACTTTTTATTTTTTAATAAAGTTTGATTAAAGTGGCTGATTTTTTCATGTTTAATAAGGGTTAACATTGAAAGGTTGATTAGAAAGCCCCCAAACTAACATTAAAAGTCAGAACTTTACCCTTAGGTTGTGTTTGGTTAGCTATTCTCAAAAGAAGAATTCAAGGGTGGCTTGCATTGGAAAATCTGTTAGAATCTGGGTACAAAACCTTGCAGTCGGTTAAAGTAAGGTTAAAATATCAAATTGGTAACTCAACTTTCATACTTGTATTGAAATTGTCCTTTAATTTTAAAAAATATCAAAATTGTCTCTAAATTTTAATTTTTAATACCAAAATAATCCTTAAATTTAAAGATAAATACCAATTTAGTTCTTAAACTTTGTAAACAAGTATCAACTTAGTCCTTGAACTTTAATTACAAATACAAATTTAATCTTTTAATTTTGATTATATATCAATTTTATGTATAAATGGAAATATATTACGATGATAAAATATGACTATTTAATTTTATACGTCATTAGTATTTCAAAAAAGAATTGATTTTGTAATAAGATAATGTTTACCCAATTGGTTACCCAAGAGGGGGGTGAATTAGGTCTTATCAATTTAATTCAAAACTCATTTCTTTTTCTTTAAAAGATGAATCACATTTTCAATTTATAAACTATTGTGCAAAATAAACAAATAGTAATTGCAATCTTGTAAATAAAGTACAGAAAAAATAAAAAGGAAAGGGAAGAGAATATCAAGCCATGATTTATAGTGGTTCCTCCAACCCGGAGTACGCCACTCTTCAAGCCTCCTTACTTGAGAATTCAATTCACTAAGATTCTCTTACTCACGGGTGCAAGATTAAACCAGAACAAACTCTTGTTTACGGGTGCAAGATTAAACCCTCACACTCTTGCTTCAAGGTGCAAGATTAAACCCTTACAAGTGAATCTCAACAACTCACTGAACTCCTTCAAGTATTATCCCAATCCAAGAAGAATACAATACCCTTGTAAGCAAAGACAATTAACCCAAAAGGCTCACAAGAAGAAGAAGAAAAAGATTCAAAACAGGTTCAATTTCAAACTGTTTTTCTATCTTCCTCTAGAGAAGTCCGTTTAGAGTACTCAGATCTGATTTTTGATGCTCTTTTTAATGGTTGCTTGGAAGATCTTGCAATTAAACCTTGTTTTGCCCTTCAAAACCACCTCACAATTGCTCCAATCACATTTCACTCTTTTTCTACTTCCCATAACAGACTCTGACTTGTCTTGGAAAACGTGTTAGTCATTTGGATCCCTCTAAGGCCCATTAACCCATTAAGATAAAATAGATAATTGAATTGTCAAAGATTTACCTTCCAGCTTTGCTTTAAAGCCAGAAATATTGGTTCAAACCATTTTCAAAAAAAGAACTACGGGATTGGTTCAAATCAAGTGGAATTGATTCAAGCCTAGAACTCTGGACAAGGAGGACAAAATTTAATTCTAATCATGGGGAAAGATTAGAATCTTTGAATTAGTTTTCCTACATACTTAGCACAAAAGTAGAGTAAACTCTTTAAATTATGGTTTTAAATCATCATTAAAATACAAAAAGAACCTAACAAATAACGAGTCATATGACATTTCTATTAACCTGTGGACTATTTTGGTATCAAAAATTAAAGTTTAAGGATAATTTTGATATTCTTTAAAGTTAAAAGATAATTTTAATGTAAATCTAAAAGTTGAAGGATTAAATTAATATTTTAACCTTATAATAAAAACTAACCAATTCTAAAAACCAAACACAGCATAGGGATTAAAGTTGAAGTGGTTGAAGTTGAATTTAATATAGTTAATTAGTTATTATAGATCGCGAAGTCACAATGGATTACTAGTAGTAATGAAAGTTGAAGTAGGTAAAGTTGAATTTAGGCACGGACTGATAAAATGTCGAATTCACCGGCTGAGTCAATTCTTGCGGACGATAATCATAAAACCAAAACAGCAAATCTTATCATCAAGCTGTTTATAAGAATTAAATGAAATAACCTTTGACATTCAATATTTTGATACGAAACTTGTTTTTAGCTGTATTTTCAAACTTTCCCATGATGATCCTTTTTGACTATAAGGTAAGGACTTGATATTTACCAGAAGTTCTTGCCGATGGGTAAATAAATATTGTTGAATGTACAAATTCACACCTCAACTACAATTATTGTCCTAAATCTATAAATAAAAAGGTATAGTATAGTTTACATTGTACTAAATTTTATTATATTAATCTCTAAATAAGGTTAATTTCTTTTAATATTAAAATTATTTTTTATTTAATAATTCTTATTTTATGGTATGATATATTCTGAAATATAGATAAAGTTCCCATCTCCAAATGTTATTACCCTTGCATGGTTATTATTGACTTGACTTGAGGGCTCCAAATTTTATGTCATCTAAAATTAGTAGAAAGTACTGAAGAAAAGTGCACTTTGGCTAAAGGGCACCCAGAAGCACTTTAAAGGAAAAAAAAAGGGAAAGGTTCATCTAAAAAATAGTTCACCAAGAACAATAGGTGCTAATGATTAAGGAATACTTTTATATCAACTCCTGAAGAAGTTGTTTCTTTGCTCCACATTCAGAGTTTCAATCAAGGGTAATTCATGACAGGGATTTTTTCTTGAATGGAAAGGGTGGGAACAAGGTGAAAGCAAACATCGGAAAATCTTCCCAAAAGTCTTCTCTCATGCATTACTTTTAGAAATTTGAAACACAACTTGTGCGACATCTTGTATTTTTACATTCACATCAATCAAATCTTTAAACTCCAATAATTCAGAGGGTGATTCTTACTTGTAATTCAATTTCTTTACGTACCATGTAAAAAAGAAAAAGAACAGCCTTTTTTCCAGGAAATTTATCACTTTCCTCTTTAACCCACTTTCAACATGCTCAACCGTGGCCTCCACATGCGATTGAGCTCATGCAATCATCTCATGCAATCATCACATTTATATAAAGAAGGTTCAAAAGAATCCTTCCATCACATGCCTTAGGGAACTCATTCCTCATCCTCCACATAAAGATTTAATTTTTTATGTGTTTTCTTTTTTTTGGGTGGGCAAATATTATTTTTCCTATATTTAAAGATACCAAAATAAAGAACACTTTTCCTAATCACACCCAGAAGAATGACACAATTTATTCATAATTGAATTTTCATTACGGTCAAAATTCCATTGATTTATTCAATGGTAGAGGTAGGTGAATTGTAGGGTTGTGGAGGTAGGTGAGTTGTAGGGTACTAGATAGATTGAATATTCTTCCCCCTTTCAAAAGAGCTTTTAAATTTTTTTCTTCTCTTTTCTTTTCATAGAGCTGTTACTTTTACATAGAAAAATTGGAATTACTAACAAACAACCCTGAAAAGATTTAATACTACGCAAATCAGTTTTGAATATTCTGAAGAAAGTGTTTTGTTTTGTTTTGTTTTGTTACCCTTTGCCCCATCTCGCCGGAATGTTCTCATTTCTTTCCCAATGGTATAGAAAAAATAAATTAAATTAATTTTTTTGAAAAAAAAAAAAAGAAGAAAAAAGAAAACATCAGAGTTTTATCATGAATACCACATAGCATCATCATGATGTGCATCCTCTTAATGCACACCACCCACATCATGATTTTCCCTAGAAAGGTCAAGTTATATACTTATGAATTATATGCTCCATTAAAAAAAAATAAATATTGCAACATGTTAAGATCATAAACCTAAATTTTGAGTTAGCTTATGTTAAAATCCCTATAATAATGAAACTCTTGAAGCATTACATTGGCTTAGAGAGACTTCCTGTATGTTACTTAGATGAATGGGTTTTATTATGACAACGATAGTGAATGGGAATCTTCCACTCTTCCCATCATACTTAAACCCAGGAAATGTTAGTTTGGTAGCAAATAATGACTGTTTCCAAGAAAAAACATTAGACAGAAAAAAAATACAATGGAATCCACCCGGTCTTGAAATTCTTAGTATTATAGTTTTTTTGAATCCGAATCTACAGAAGTGATGATGGCAAAGGGAAAGGAATAAAAGGGATTGATACTGGTGCAGTTGCTGTACAACTAGTGGAGTGGAGCAACCTTATGCGGCCTGGTGCAAGTGAACCTGCTTACCTTCCAGGTAATGCTGCGAAGCTCATCCCTCCCCATTTACAAAATATGAGGACAAAAACAAAGTCCCCAACAAAAGGGCACTCATCCATCTGGACAAACCAAATAAAGACACAGACAAACGTTCATGCCCCAAATTCCCTCATGTCCGGTTCACACCCTTTCTTGTAATTCTACAACCCCTTTTCCACCCTGGTTTTATATTTTTAATCTTTTTCAAAGGAATTTAAAAAAAAAAAAAAATCAAATATCAAAACCCCTAAAGCTAAATGATGGATGGAGAATTGAATTGGTGTGCTGGTAGGTGGAATCTGGAGGCATGCATCATTTTTAAAGTGTAAAACACAGACCCTTATTTAGTTTTCAAGATAATATATGCATTAGGATTCTGGAAAAGCAGTGAAGATGACATGTATGTCAGTGTCCACATCCAATCCAAGTGGTAAACTTACCCCCAAACAATGCCAAAAGGACACATGCTTTCCTTCCAATGTCTCACTAAAAATAGAGTAAAGCTCAGCTGAGAATTTTCACAAACACCTAACAAACACTAAATTCATTAAAGTTCCAACATTAGAATAGCAATCTAAGGTCAAAACCCTAAATACCCAAAATTACAATACTGTAAATAACCCATTAAAGGACATCTGAGCCCTTACAATTCCCAAAATTTCCCTATTTTAGAGTCTCTGATAAACTCTATTTACTTCTTATTTACATTTTTTTTTTTTTCATTTTGGTCCTCACAATCTTACATAATGGAACAGGCATTCGGATTCTCATCACTGAACAGTTGCGGGGCATGCAAATGGACTGGGTAAAACGGAGCATATGTGGGGTAACCCGGGAAATACCCTTGTTCGTATGGGTATCCGAATCCGAAATCCGGTTGACCCATGTACTCCAGCTTGTTCCCCTCCACCGTCCCACCACCATTGTTGTCGCCGTCTTCACCGCCGCCATTTCCTTTCTTTTTCTTCTTCCCACCACCACCGCCGCCGCCGCCATTGTTGTTGTCACCGCCTTCCTTTTCATCGCCCTTCTCCTTCTTCGGTGGCACAATCTCGACAGGTCTTTTAAGTCTCTCCTTCAGAACCTCCGTCAACGCCTTCACGTCCATCGTTCCTTTCACCGTCAACAGATCTTTCTGCTTGTCCATTGACATATCCTGCACACCTGTAGCATATAGTTGAAGGGGCAGTCAACAAAAGACAAAATTTTTAGACGTAACGAAACAGAGTGGCTGCCGCCGCAATGAGACACTTACCTTTAGTTTTGGCAACTGTCTTCCGAATCTTCTCGATGCAACCCTGGCAGTGCATCTGCAACTTCAAAACCGCCGTCTTCGCTGGAGTCTGAAAAATAATACCCACGTTTTCATAACTGATAAATTAATTTTTAAGCTCTGTAACTGATCCGAGGAATTGGACTTGAACAATTAAATGGCGAAAATTTAAAGAAAACTATTGGTGTTAAGTTGCTAACAATTGGAAATTAGTACCTCTTTCTTCTTGTTATCAGCATCTGGCTTTTTTTCGTTTTCTGGTTTTTTCTCCTTCTTCCCTGAGTTGTCATCTTTCTTGGGTTGGGGAGAAATGAGGTCGACTTTCTTGTTGGTTTTCTGGTTCAATTTCTCACGAAGAACCGCCGGATCCACTGCTCCGACCACCGTCACTTTGTTTGCTTCCATCTCTTTCTGCACACTCTCCACCCCTGAAATAAGAAAAACAGAGTATAAGACCGTCTAATTTTGCTTCTTGCTTCGGGGATGTTAAAAGGACTCATTGCATCGGAGAAAGTAGAGAAGAAGAAATCACTGCAGAATCCGACTGGAGAAATGAAGGAAAAATGAAAACCCATAAAAGAAACGAAGAAAGCCTTAACAAACACACCTTCAAAAGTACGAAGATACTTGCAGATTTTGGAGGCGCAACCTTCACAATGCAGTTCCACCTTCAAAACAACCGTCAAAGACTTATCCTCTTTCTTCTCGCCATTTCCTTTCTTGCCTTTCCCTCCATTCTTGTTGTTGTCACCATCGTTCTTCTTCTGCTGCAACACCCAAAAAACAGAGAAAACGCAGAAAAAAGAAAAAACATTAAATCGGAGATGGAACGGCGGAGGAGGAGAAAAGGGAGGTGGTGGGTCAAGTAACTGACCTCGCCCATTGTGGCTTTTGCAGTTTCTTCCGACGAAAAGGAATCGGAGAGAATAATAGAGGCGACGAGGTGGTATTTATAAGAAGGGGAGCAGTTACTTGCTGATGATGATGATGATGATGATGATGGTATACATACATCAATACATAGTCCGGACTGCCGGATACATCAATACATAGTCCGGACTGCCGGACTGGGAGGAAGTCAATCAGGGCAATTTTGTGTTTTTAATTATATTTTTATTGTTTTAATTATTTTAATTAATTAATTATGACTGTTGGGTTTGGGTTAGGGGTGAGCATGGGTAGGCATGGATCATGTATTTACTCATATCTTTGCTTGGTTTGAAGAGTAATATATACAAGATTTTAATACTCAGTATTTATTTTAATATTGAAATTTATACCATTTACCCAATTTATTGGGTATACGTATACCCACATATATACTCATAGATATACTTGTATACTTGTAACTTGCTGGGTATATGTATATCCGCAGATCTATTTGTATACTTATTAAATTTATACTGAAAATACATAAGTTAATATACAATTATAAGTTCATATATATAATACAAGTTTATATATAAAACAAAATATGTGAGTATATACACTCACACATACATAAGTTTATATATACAATAACAAAAGAAATACAAATAAAAATTCACATGATTTTCTTTTAGTTGAATCTTCACTACCAGAAAAAAAGAAAAAAGAAAAACATAAACATTTTGATTTCATAATATTATATTACAAATTAAACATATAAAATTAGAATACATGTCAAGTATATAGATCAGACATATAGGTTGGCTATATAAGTTAAATATACAAATCAAATATGCAGGTATTGACTCTCATACCCAATACTTACTCATACTTAGTAAGTTTGCATTTTTCATACTCAATATTTAACTGTCTCTTCACAAATATAAGTAAAATACCTACCAAATAAGTCAAACACCTACAAATATTAGATATACTCGTATGTGATGCTTAGCCCTAGTTTGGGTAATTCGAATGGGCTGATGTTTATGAATGGACTGTTGTTCTATATTTTTGGGCCTGTACTCGCCAGCAAGCACAGGCCCAAATGGAATGATTGAGGGTGACCTAATTGCAAAACTTCAAAACTTCATTACATAATTTAACAATTTTTCATAAAATACTTTAATCAATCACTTTCATTTTTCTTGTTAAAGTTGGGCTTTAATTTCCATGATTGAGGGTGACCTATTTGCAAATTGAAATTTGTCTTGGACTTTCTTAAGAACTCAAGGGTAGGAAGAATATTCTGAGGAAGATTTCACAGGTTGAAGCATTTTTTTTTTTCAAAGAGAGATAGACTTAAAAATTTTTGGAGTACTTTATGGATAGGAAAGGTGATATAATCATGAATTAAGTTTATCAATCCCAAGGGTTATGACTTGCTCAGACATCATGGGTCACACATTTCTGAGTAAAACTCCATATTGATTGATTGATTAATACCTCCCACCAGCTCCTGAATTGTTACCTAATCAATTTTGAATTCTATGTACCAAAAAAATAATAATAATAATAAATTTTGAATTCTTGGGTTCGGCGTGTCGTTTTTATTGCATTTGTGTGCAAGCAACAGAGTTTCAACGAAAGATTATAACAAGCTGACATTTGGAATTTGTTATGAAGATAATGTTTTTATTGACAATGAATACAATGTGCATGCAGAATAGTCTTCTGTGTGCCAACAACGATAATGATAGAACCCTACATTTTGGGCCTTACTTTTGCAATCAGCTCTCTCCTCAGAATTTTTCCTGAAGCAGACTTTGGAACGCTGTTTATGAATGTTACTCTCCGTATTCTCTTGAAAGGTGCCACCTGCAGAGGACAAAAATACAGTTAAAAGGCATAAGGATGCTGATATCTTTGTATTTCAACACGGCCCCGCCCTTACCTGTTTAGCAATAAAATTTTGAACATCTTCTTCAGTCAGGGAACTGTTGGGAGATCGAACTACATATGCAACCGGGACCTCACCAGCTTCAGCGTCTGGATATCTAAGGGCAGAAAGAATTCATGTTCAAAAACTCAATGCTGCGTTCTATACGATGGGATTCTATGGGAGAAAAAAGAAAAATAGTTTCCTAAGAGTTAAATGTTGCAAGCACTTACGGGATGACTACAGCATCTAAAATTTCAGGGTGAGAAACTAGCAGCCCTTCTAGCTCTGCTGGTGCAACCTAGTAAGAATTTAAACAGCAGAAAAAAAATCAGTTCAAATAATGCTGTTCATCCCCAACTACGTACAGAACAGAAAACTAAAGAATAGACTCTCGTTCCATTTTACCACTGTACATATATAGATAAGAATTGTATTTATCTTTTACATCAATCATAATCAACCTTAAATGCAAGTTTTCTTTTGAAGGTAAGATACAAGTTTTTAAAGCTAAGACATTGAAATCTTGATCTTTTTACAAGGATTTAGACATGCTATATAGCTAGGAAATATAACCTCTCCTTAATGAATGAGTATAAATTTAGTCCTGAAAACAAACAACAAAGAAACTAACTTAATTACCTGGAAACCTTTGTACTTGATGAGCTCCTTAATTCTGTCAACAACATAAAGTTGCCCATTCCCATCAAAATATCCAAGATCTCCAGTGTGTACCCAGCCCTTCTTGTCTATTGTAAGTTTTGTTGCCTGTGGATTGTTATAGTAACCTGCAAATGATTAATGAGATTATTATTCTTCGAAATCATAAAATTTGGAAAGGGAAGAGCTATTCTAAAATCACAATTCAGGGAAAAAGAACAACTTCAAAAAGCATTGTGCTCTCCACGAGATGAAGTAGAGAAGATTAAAGGTTATAAGGATTAAAGATCAGGCTATGTACACATAAACACAAAGCATTAAAAAGTTATATGGATGTAGTCCTTATGTACAAATATGTGCACAATGCGTTCAAAATCAGGCTATGTACACATATGGATGTAGTCCTTTCTTTTATTCTGTAAAGTAGTCTTCTGGCTCTACAGTGTATTCTTGTGCCAAACAAAATGAACATTCATTTCTAAACCATCCAGGCATGAATAAACACACAACTAAGAAACAACACTACCTTGCATCATATTGGGTCCCCGCACCCATATTTCCCCCAACTGATTAGGAGGGAGAGGCTTTAGAGTCTCTACACCAACTATTTGAGCTTCAACTCCTGAAACAAGAGTTCCAGCTGAACCAGAACGCCGAACAGCAACCATGGGACTCTCCAACGAAATAATGCCACAGGTTTCAGTCATACCATAGCCCTGGAATTAAAGAGTGATTGTTCATTGTTAAAATAAAAAGCTGACTTTTCTATTCCAAGCTAATTTTCAAAGGCTTTGCAAAGGTATGAAAAGTGAAAATTAAAATGTTTATATATATATATATATATATTTTTTTTTTTTTTGGTTTCCGTTTGGTATCCAGGGTTTCGTCCCGATTAATCCAGATCCGACCCGCGTCGTGCACTTGAAAATGGTGGGTGAGTCTCTCAGTGGGCTGCTGCATACACAAGGACTCGAACTCGAGACCTTACTTAAGTTGAAACAAGCCGTTTACCACTTAATCCAACCCCTCATTGATTAAAATGTTTTTATATTAAATATGTCGAACATTGAATTTATGTATGATTGACAAGATATATATAAGTTTTATATTATGTGCCATCATAAATTCAAACCTACCATGCTCATCTACCCATCAATTTTACATCTTTCTAGGAAATCTCGTTGATTTCACTTCTGAAGCACTCCAATCACATTTATTTTGTACGTAATTCTTAATTCATAAAGTTACTTCTACTCACCCATATTGCGCCATAAAGAATGGAAAATTGATTAATAGGTACCTGAAGAACTATAGCATGTGGAAAATTCTTAGCACACTCCTCCATCAATTCCTTCCCCAGAGGCGCCGCACCAGACCCAATTTGCCTCAAGGAGGAAAGATCGAACTTCTTCACCATACTCTGCTTAGCCAAGGCAAGTATAATTGGGGGCACAACCCACAAATGAGTGACTTTGTACTTCTCCACGCACCTCAACATCACCTCGAAATCGAACTTTCTGAGGGAAACCACAGCATTCCCTTTTTGCAGCTCTGAGTAGAGTATGTCTACCAATCCAAAGACGTGAAACATGGGCAACACGCACAAGAACACCCGGTGCATGTCGCCGGTAATCTCTTCATCCATAGTCACCATTAACGATGTAGCGATGAAGTTTCCATGCGTTAGAATAACTCCCTTGCTGTTCCCCGTGGTCCCCGAAGAGTACAATAGCGCCGCCGTATCGGTCTGCTTGACGAAAACCGGGGGAAATTCCGTAACTTTTCCCGGTAAATCAAGAAGGTCCTGAAAATGAAGAACCTTTCTACTGGGTTTGACTCCGGAGTGTTGTTGATGGGTGTTGGATCCCAATAAAACTACAGGAAGATCAAAGTCCCTAACCTTGTCTACTAATTCAGGGACAGTGACAATAAGCTTCGGATTAGAATCCTTGATTTGTTTAGAAAGTTCGTTGACGGTGTAAATGGGGTTTACGGTGGTGACGATGGCGCCAATGGCGGTGACGGCGAGGAAGCAGATAGGGAACTGGATTGAATTGGGGGCGAAGATGAGGACGACGTCCTTTTTCTTAATACCCAATTGGAGAAAGGCGTGGGAGAGCTTAATGAGAAGGGATTTGAATTGAGAGAAGGAGAGGGATTCACCCGAATCAGCATCAATAAGGGCCGGTTTGTTGGGGTAAGCAGAAGTGTTCCTGAAGAGGAAGGAAACAAGGGAGAGATTCGGGTCCTTGGGAAGCGACAGAGGAGGCCTCAGGGACCGGAAAATCCCATCTCGGCCGTAACCAGATTTCTCCATTGACGATTGTCCAAAGGGACGGTGAAGAAGTTCCGAACTGAGAACTCTGGAGAACTGAAAAATCAACAAGTACCAGATAAGACAAGACTAACGATAAACTCTTTCGATCTCATCTGAATTGGAAAGTCAACTTTAACAGCTTGTTACGTCATCCACATACGGAAAAATGTAAGGACATCTACATTATCTAATCTCCCATGCACAGGCTAATAAAAGAACGGATAATTCAGCTCAAAAAAATAAACTTTTTTTGTGAGAGAGGGGACCGCGTGA